GATTATGAGGATCTGCGCAACGAAGGACTTTTGAACCTGCTGATGGCTGCTACTGGCGTCAACCATTTCGAACACAGTGGAACTGTGGAGGTACATGGCAACCTGCCCAACTCAAAGCGCGTGTCGACTTGTCAAGAGCTTCGTCGCTCGAGACTCAGTTCATCACCCAGCAACAGTCTCCATGGTGACACTCCACAAAGCCCTGACATGTCCAACCCATAAACACCAATTCTCAAACCCTAAGCCCCTAAAGCGTTATCCAAGCCTTTACCCTTATAGACAGGACCCCACAAGGGAACTTGGTGTAGAGAACTACCCATGAGCTCCCGAGCCTGTTGGCCACACGGCGCGCGAAGCCCCCAGGTCCAGAACCATCCGCGTCTGAGGAGCAAAAGACCACTGGGGTTCACCTGACGGGTCGCAGGGCTTGAGGAACTAGAACCGGTTTCTCTTGTAGTGTAGTTTTATAGCGGCTGCGTAGGGATGCTATTGCCGATGGTTCAGACCGCTTTTGGAGTTACAAACTGGATCGGATGACCCTAGTTAGTGTTAGGGTGCTTCAGACACCAGGAGCTTAGCTGTTTTATTTGAGCTCTAGGTAGGATAACCTTCACTTGCCGAACAACTCTACATACAACTCACCTACTAAGTCCCCCTGACCCTTCTAAGCAGAGGCTTCAGTGCAGGTCCCTGGGATTCAGGGAGAAGGCTTCTTCTCAACCATAAGGACCCTTAGGGAGGTAGGGGGGAGGGGTGTAGGGTGTAGGGTTGAAGGAAGTGTAGTCCCCTGCCCCCATCCCCGTTACCCGCCGAGGGGTCCCCATCACTCAAGCTTCGGAGGCAGGCTAAACCCTAAACCCTAAACCCTAAACCCTAAACTCTAAACCCTAAACCCTAAACCCTAATTATTAGGGTGCAGGCCTCAGGGGAAAGGCTTTACTAGGGTGGAGGGCCTCGGGCCTCAGGATATTCCAGTATGCTATGATGCGCTTCATGATATTATATGGCATTACATTGCATGGCATGGCATTATGTTACAGTGTATCATATTACATGATATTATATTATATTGTAATATATTACTCTGTATGTTATCATATTGTATTGCATTCTATCGTATTATATTACGTTATAGTAAATGGTACTACATGCTACTATATGATGTCATACTATATCATGCTATATAGATATATGATATATTGTATTCTACTATGTTGCATCCGTAGTTGGGGTTGGAGGCGAGGACGGGGGACTTAGAAGGGAGGGATAAGGCAGGTAGAGAAATGAAGGGCAACTTGAGCCCCCGGTAAATGAGGAACCTTCGAGGCGAAGTTGTTCGGTTTTAGAGTTCAGGTTCCAGGTTTTAGGGTTTAGGGTTTAGGGTTTAGGGTTTAGGGTTTAGGGTTTAGGGTTTAGGGTTTAGGGTTTAAGGCATGCAAACATCCGTGACCTTGGCGCCGAAACTGCTCGTCCTGGGGTGCTACCTTCCTTAAACCTGCAATCACCCCCGATATCCCTAAACACTAAACCCTAAACCCTTGACTTGAAAGAGCATCTTCAAATGCCACTTCAAACAGAAGCCTAGACATATTTGCACCAACATCCGTTTAGATTCCTTACTTACTATGTAAGTATGCCAGACTCCACCCCAGAGCATATTCTAATCCCCCTTGCATCTTTAAAACAGCCCTGCAACACCCCATAAAACCCTAAAGCAGCACCAACAAGCCCTTGTTTGCAAGGAACCCAACAAAAAGCGCCTTCTCCGGGGACGTCCCAGCAACGAGCTTCTCCCAGGGGCACGAAACCTCCTTGCCTCAGCGGGCTGAACCCCGGCTGGCGTTTACGGCCTTGGGGCTTTAGGGATTGAAAATTACTCCGAAAACTCCGAATGGTCCTTATTTATTGTAATGGACCAAAGCCCTAGTCGAGCTACTCAGGCGCCTAAATTACCCTGGAGATCTAAGCCTGAATCTCGGGACTTCGAAGTTCGGTTAGGGCTTGGGCGGCTTCCAGCTTGCATCAAGATTAGTCTTGGTTCTGACGTCACTCGAAGTGCTGGTATGGTGACCGACGATGATGATCGCTATGGCGATAAAGATGCGTGCAGTCACCAGGGCAGCAGCGACGAAATGACAACATGGATAGAGGCCCAGTAGTGAGGCAGTTGAAGCGATAGCAAAAGCAACACTATTCGTCGTCAGCAGTAGACGCTCACAGACACAGTAAGAATGAGATAACAACTACCAGTAGTACATAGCAGCTCATTTAAAGCCAGTGGCTCCAAGAGAAATGCTTCGTCGCCCACGCCGTAGAGCTCCACCTGCAAACTTGCTTGTCTGGTTGGAAGCCTTGGGAAGGGGGAGCAGTTGTCAGAGTGCCCCTCGGTCCTTGCGCATTGAACACTCGCGGTCTGTGCAGAATCCACTATTGTCATGACCATGATCATGGCCAAGACATTGCACTGACATCAAGACAGAGTCAAAGGTTGAAACCGCGGCTAAACAGGCTGCTGACTTTCATGAACGAAAAGTCCCGAGAAAGCAATCAATCTGGGACCTGCTCATCCAACAGCGCAATCCTGGATGCAAAAAATGCTGCAGATGAGGGTAATGTCGGGATCCGAAGCATTGCAGCCCATATTGTCTGGCAAAACAAAAAATGTTGTCTAACGCTTGTGGACACATAACAAACATAACCAGTATAGTCCTGATGTGATGATAAGGCGAGGTTCGGACATTCGTGCTCGGTAGGTTTTGCGGGCCTATGTGGCGTGGATGCTTGCAGTCTATATAACTGTAGTATTTCCCAGCAGCCTTTAACGTCAGGGCATGCCTAGGGCCTTCAAGGCAACTAGAGCCTCTGTCTTGAGCGATGCTTGAAGCCGACGTACAGGATTGGAAACCGTGAACCCGAAACCGGAAACCCTGAACCCGAAACCCTGAACCCTAAACCCTACAGTGGAAACCCCTCACATACCGAAAAAAAAATGTTCCCTCGGAGGGCTCTTGCTATACGGCATGCTGTTCTACGTTCGTAGTGGTCTGTGGGAAACTCTACGGGTAAACTCTTCAGACCTCTAAGACTCGATACTACCCCTTTACTTTAACTCGAACCGTAAACCCTGAAGCTCTGTGTTTTCTCCTTAATTACCCCAGCAACCCAGAGAAGAAAAAAAAACATCGAACCCCAAACATCCCCAAATGTTCCCCAAACCCTCTTCTACCTCTCTCTGCAGCCCCGCTTTCCAAAGTCAGCTTTCGTACATGTGGAGACTCCATCTGGGGATTAGAGTTATCGTATAATGATCCTTCTGTTTAGGGTTCCTTTGATTTCTCTTGTGTACAAGTTGCTATCGCGGCCTTAATCATTAGAATAGGGTTTGAGGGATTGGGAGTACATTATACTACAGCTATAAAAAGGAACCCCCCGAAATGGCATTGGAAATTATTTAGGACCCTACAACACGCTTCTTGGACTCTTTAACCCTAAACCCGAAACCCTAAACCCTTTAAACCAAGAAGCTCGGGGAGCTGCGTCCAAGAGTTCTTGCCGGCCCCCTCGGCCTCGACGGAAGCAATGCAAAAGGGGGGAAACTTTGATGGAAAAAAGACACTAATATGTGGGCCTTAATAATTCGAATATGGTGTTGGGGCCCATTATGCTATAATCATAATAAGGAACCCCCAAAATAGGTTTGGCAATTATTTAGGCCCCTACATTAGCAGAACCATGCAGAACCCATGGCATGGTGGAGGGCGGGGGGTCTCCGATTAAGGCTGACGGCCACGCGCTTCGGGTCTTTTTAGGGCCTTGCGGGGTGGCGAGTATTCCTGTATCTGCCGCAGATTTCGGAGAGCAGCACATGGATATGGACTGGAGATCCGAAATTCCCATATATCACCCTCCAAAACGCTTGTAGAGCCCCATCAAGCCGTCATAAAGGCCCTGCCCAACACAGACCCTTTTAAAAAGCCTAACATCCTCCATTCAGGGATGCTGGAAGGGCGAGAAGCCAGATGCTGCAAGATATCCATTGAGCAGACGCCGCAATCGCGCGACAGGTCTTCCTGCCGGTGTGGGCTTCGAGCTCGAGGTTTTGGTTTTTAAGCTTCTGATTAGGTTTCTTCAGGCTAGGGTTAAAATCTGTAGGCACGGTTTAGGGAGTTTAGGGTGTAAATAGGGTGTGTTCCGCCTTTGTCTTGGTTGCGTCGGATGTAATCGGACCCTTAGACAGGTTGCAGGAGGTGATTTTTGGCTTTTGCAAGTGTTTGGGTGGCTTCGGGCCTCCGTAATGAAGGTGCCTGAATAATTAGAAAAAGGTATTGGGTGGTTCATTACAGTGTGTTTATCGTAAGGAACCGCAGTGAAAAGTATTCCTTCTTGCTCAGACTTCTATACTACATCAGGTTTGGTGGCGGAGGGTGCTCCTCGGGTGTCTTGAGGCCGAAATGCGCCGATTTCGTCGGGGTCTGGTCGCAGGGAAAAGGGACACATAATGAGAGAGTTAAAGGCAGATTTCAGAATAACCGGAGACCCGCCTCAAACATAGTCAGACTTTACAGAAACCGCCGGGAAGCCCCAGTTGGGTCATTGAGGAGTCTGAATACAATACGATCCGTCAAGAATGGGAGCTGTTTGGAGCTGGGGGAGCCAACCGGGAGCGAGAGCCCTAGAGCCCTAAACGCTGCAAACCCGAACCCCTTGAACCCAGATGTAGCGGCCTTAGTAATTAGAGTAGGGTTGTTGGGGTTGGTGTATTATACTATGATTACAAAAAGGAGCATGAAAACGGTTGGTATTGGTCATCATGTAGGCCCCTATGAATTTAAATCCTGGCATCGCCCTCTCTGTCCCCCGTTTCGAGTAGGATGCTGGAGAACACAAGCTAAAACCAGCCTGGAACGCCCAAGCATAGTCATGTAACTTTCCAAACACCGCAAGAGAGATGTCCGCGGTTTGCACGGTGCGACAGGCTGCAAGAAGCGGGGCTTGGAGTTTGACAAAAGGGTCTGAATATCGAAAAGCAAAGGCATTGTGCAAAGATATATGGATAGATAGGCGGATAGATGGATGGATGGATGGGTGGATAGATAGATAGGTAGATAGATAGATAGATCGATAGACAAATAGATAGGCAGATAGATAGGCAGATAGATAGATAGATAGATAGATAGATAGATACATACATACAGATAGATAGATAGAGGGAGAGAGAG